CAGGCAAAACGGAAACATTACAGTTTTTTCAAGATCGTGCACTGAAAAAAAATTATCGGCGTTTTTACCAAGGTCCGTCGGTACCTTTACCATCTCACTTTTTTGCCAATTATTGGTAATTTTACCAAGACAGACTGGTAAGCTTACCTAAAAACCGGTATTTTTTGCTTTTTTTCAGGTAAGAATACCACTTTTATTGGTAATCAATTCTCGGTAACTTTGCCATTTTATCTCGGTAATTCTACCACAGTCGATAAAAAATATTGGCGTTTTTACCAAGGTCCAGTAAAATTACCGAGAAAGTTCAATAATTCTCGGTAAAATCACCAATTCCATAAATGAATAGAAACCAATAAATAAAACCAAATAGAACCCTGAACTCTTGGTAATTTTACCCTTTTCTTAGTAAATACACCGAGATATTTTTTTCAGTGCAGGCAAAACGGAAACATTACAGTGTTTTCAAGATCGTGCAACTTCCCCTTTTCTTTTAAAAAATACCTAACATAGCGTGTACAAACTCAGGATTAGAGCGCCTTCGAATCGCCTGATACTTCCCGCTTTGCCGTTAAGTTAGTTTAGTTGCGTGACCTAACTTAACCCAACCCGACTCTGTTGCAACCGGCTCCCGAGCTTAAGGTGATTCGATGGACGCCATATTTTGTGTCAGAACGGCATGCGCTATATCGCATCAATTGGTTCCATTTTTTCAGCTACTCGTCATTTTTCTCCAATTTTCAGATCGCAATTCTGTTGTCAGGAGACTAAAGCACTGACTTACCAATTTTAACAAAGAAATTCAACGTAATAAAGGCGTGATTTTTTCAGAGAGAAAACATCGCATTCGATACAGATATCGAAACTGCACTCGAATGTGTCGCAGACTTCCTGTCATACTTTATTTTTTAAACGGAAAACTACTCAATGGCGATCCTTTAAAACTGCCGAGATTTTTCTTCTCTGTGCGAAGAAAATTCTGCACTAGACTTCAAGGAATGATGTCAATTTGTTCTCCTTTAAAAAAATAACATGGAAGCCGAGATTTTCAGACACCGCAAACGAGATATATGATTGCAGACTTACGCCGTCGATATGTACAGTATTAAAATTCACACAGTTATCTTCCTGTAAAGTTAACAATTTTTCGGTAGGCAGCAAAAAGTTTTTGCTATTTAAGGAGATTTTTTAGATAATTATGAAGGAGCAAAATTTTAACAACACTGTAATCGCGCTGGTTCCTTTTTGCTAAATGCAATCCAATTAGACGTATTATACTATGCTGAAGGGAATGAGGCTGAGGCAGTTTCGCTGGTCTCAGAATCGTATTTTGATGATCGATTCTCGTCGATCAGCTAAAAATATTAAAATCTGTCCACACAGCGCGATTTCTCGGTTAATCTTGGGCGTGGAAAACTGCTGCTCGGACACATCTTATTAATTTTAGCTAATCTACAAGAATCAAGCGTAGCTACATTTCCGAGTTGCCAAATTTTCCCTCGCAAATTGAAATTTTATCGGAAGAATCTTGGGCATATCTAACCGAAAATTTCATGTATTTTTCCTCGGATATCCTGCGAAAATCAGAAAAAATTTGACTGAAATTTCACAGATGCATTCTTGTAGATAATTAAATTATTTGAGTAAATTTTGCAACCTCGGAGTGGAGTTACGTTCCTTCGTCCAGAAAACCACGCATTGTCCTGTTCATGATGCTACAGGGTTATTAAAAAATCTCGCACCATTGGTCATGAGGGGGGTGTCCATTTGAAATGTTTGAGTTGCCCCCTGCCTCCCTCTCCCCGAGGGGATTAAAAACTGGAGAGTGCCTAAAAAAGTTTCCCTCTCGATATGAGGAAAAACGTCTCAAACCGCAATTTGATATCATAATTAGAGCTAATGTTATGGCCAGAGGTGCGTGACTTTTGAATAACCCTGTATGTTAAAGGTCTCCTTCCTTCACTGGAATAAAAACCACATTGGATCTAGAGTCCAGACTCTTAAAAAACATCGACAAGAAAAAATATTCTTGATTCAACCAGATTTAAGCTTAAATCAAGAACCAAGCCTCTTAATTTGAGCGGATTTTCTTTTGATTTAAGCTTAAACCTGATTGAATCAAGAGTCCTTTTTCTTGTCACTGTTTTCAAGAGTCTGGAATCTGGATCCAATGTGTTTTTTTCCAGTGTTGATCAAAGATTAAACCAAATATGTGGTTTCCCGAGAGAAAGGAGCTGAATAAGGAACAACCGTGAATGCACCCTTAAACTCCATCAAAATTATCCGCGAAAGTTGTAGGAAACTTTCACATTTATTAGGGAAAATGTGCGACTCAGGTGCGAATGTTTCAATATCCTCGCACTCTCACATTCACAGATAGAAATGGAGTCAGCGAGCCGTGCCGTCCTGCATCTGTGGCTGTTTTATTCATCATCGACAAAGTTCGCTTCGATTTCGCCTTTTGCCAGACTCTCCTATCGCTCGCTTGCCGGGTCGACCGAGAAATTGAGGATTTCCTTAGGGGTTACGGAGTTTTCTGTTCGATTTGGCAACTGTGGGCCCACTCGACTGGACTGGAGTCCGCTAGAGGGCTGTCAAGTGTCAAGTCTACTCCCAATCATCATCGCTTGTTTACACACCCCCTGTATTCCTCATTATTCCGGTCACCCCCGCCCTGAACTCTGAGCACTCGGCATGGTTGTCAGCCTTAGAGTCGTGGAAATGGCTTCGATCAATGCATGCACGTCTTTTGAACAGAGGGAAGGGCCACAATGGGTCAGTTACGCTAGTTTCAGAATCCAGTTTTGAAGCTTATATATTAGAATATTACCTACACTAATGTAGCCCGAATAATTTGACTTAAAAACGCGAAAAAATTCGCAAACAGAATGCCTGGGACGTGTTGGGGGAGGTCTCAACCAGTGTTCGAAACTCACCCTTGAGTTTTAGGAGCCATGCGGCGAACCAAGCCTGATTTTTAGGCGCCATTGAAGATTTTTTAGGGGCCAAATTGACTTTTAGCCTATATATTACGGCGCATTTAGTGAAGAGTTAGATGCAAGATGTTTTCGCGACAGAACTAGTAAGTACCTGTAACTTGGGGAAGACAAAAGCACAAATGATGAAATCGTGAAGGATAGAAAAAGCTTTCACTTGTGCTTTGACTTGTGTGCTTGGCAATAATCACCTAATATGAAATTTCATATTTTTAGGGGGCAATTTTTAAGGGACACGTTGGCGCAGAGCCTTCATTTTTTATAAGCGCCATGGCCGATTTTTAAGGTGCATTTGGCGTGTTGGCGCCTGCGAGTTTCAAACACGGGTCTCAACCTATTCCTTGACCAATAGTTGGACGTATTTCTATCAAACAGAACTATGTGCCGTGGGAAAGATGGGGTATGTGATCGGGCTATAAGAATGAATGGGAATTATAAAGCATCAGTGACGTCAGCGGCAACGACGAAAGAAATGATGATCGAGGCGGTCTTTAACTCGCGAGCCCTGTTCACAAGGCTCTAGATCCATGCCCACAGCTCTTACACTGTGCACATACTTCCGTTTGACAGAACGTGAAATCCCGCTTCTCCAATTCAGCGAGCCTACTAAGTGCAGCACCCATGAGCCATGGATATATGTCTAAAGCCTTGTGAACAGGGCTCATGAGTTAAAGACCGCCCCGATCGTCGTTTCTCTCGTCGTTCCCGCTGACGTCACCGGCGCTTTATATTTCCCATTCATTCTTATGGCCCGACCACAAACGAGCACACTCCATCTTTCCCACTGCACACAGTTCTGTTTTATAGAAATACGTGCAATTAAGAAACATAAAATTATAAAAATCAAGAAACCCCTTAGATCCTCATTCCAATGGGAGTCTCAGGGAGATTAAATGGGGGTCTCAGGGGTTTCTCGACTTTTATTAATTTTATTTATTGTTAGTTTTTCGGTCAAGAAGGGGGTTGGAACCACCCTTAAACGTCTCATGCACGTCAAGTGCACTTGAACATAGTTCCATTTAGCATAAATGAATCAGTGAGTTCGAACACACACCAACTCGGTAAAAAAAATTGTTCAGGAAACACCTAAAACTGCGCAGCTGGCGAAGAAGTTACTTTAAGAAAAACCTTTTTGGTGCCAAAGGACAAGCACTTAGAGACTTTGTAAAGCACCAAGTTAAAATCGATACACCATATTTGATGACAGAGAATTGGACGTATTTCTACCAAACAGACCTATGTGGCGATGAGAAATCTGCATAAGAAGCAATGTAAAAGTGGGCGTAGTTCCTTTTGAAGAATTGGAAAAGCGGGATTTTACATTCTATCAAATAGACCTATGTGCAGCTGAATGCGGAACTCATGAGCCGCGGGCATGGCAAGAGAGCCTTGTGGACAGGGCTCATGAGTTAATGAGCACGACTACCGCAACCACGAGGAACGTGACGCGGCGTCCTCCTCCGCTGACGTCACTGGCGCACAATTATTCTCATTCACTCTTACGGCCAGAGACTAACGAGCACACCCCATATTTCTCACCTCCACATAGGTCTGTTTGGTAGAACTACGTCCAATTAAGCGTTTAAAAATTTCCGAGTTGGTGTGTTTTCGTTCTCACCGACTTTCAGACACTGATTTTTCATAGTCTGCCCTGAAAAATTTATATTTTTCGACCTAAGTAACGCTTGAATATTTATATAACTTGTAGTACAAGGTATACTGAACCGAAAAAAGAAAACCGCAAGATCGGATGGTCACCCGTTTCCCTTGAAATGACCAAAAATTGGTATTTCCAATGAAATACTTCGATTTTTCTCTTTTCCCGTCGCTGTTTCGAGCACTTCCGATTGCAATTTCGAAATTTCCTTTTGCGTGCAGATGCTTCTCTCCAAGTGTTACTAAACCGTAAAAAGTGAAAATCGAAAAAAACCCGAGTTGGTGTGTTTACGAACTCACTGATTCAAATACGTCCAACTAGGATTGAAAAACATGAAAATATGATCTTACTTGTACTGGCAGCTCATGCCGAAGCCGAAGTCCCTCCAGAACCCGGTATCCCTCGATATGACCAACTGGTCAGTCTCCGAAGGCACAGGCTTCCCTTGCAGCGTGTAGATAACATGCGGGTTGTACAGACTAAAAACAATGGGGTAGTACACCCTCGCTCCCGGCTCCGAGTTCCATCGACACCGGTCCAGAAACCGCGCGCTGAAAACAATATCCGCGTCGCACACGAACAACAACACATCATCCAGCTCGCGCAGCACCTTGTTCGTATGCAGAGAAGGCCACGGGACCTCCACCGCGATCTCCACGGCCCGGACCCGCGACAGCGTCTCGTTCACAGCCACGAGCCTAATGTTATTAAAACTATTGAACTTACTGATAATCTTAGTAACTATACTCTCGGCCTTCCTCAACCCCGGGTCGCCGAAGTACACAATCGTCAATAGTACATTACGGTCCATCCTAAGCCCGATTTTAATGAATTTATCCATGAATCTCTGGAAGGTTTTTAACCTATTCGAGATTGGTAGAACGACGTGGACCAGTTCTTTCGGGTTTTCGCCCTTCGCTTGAACGACCAGGTCCGAAGCGAGGGGTATCACAGATAGAAACGGTTTGAGGAGCGACACTTTGACGTAGCTGAAGTTCTTTGCGGTGGTGTTCTTGAGCCGGAAGTAGACCTCGTAGTGGGTGCCGCTCGACGGGAGGGTCCGGTAGATGCCCTCTTGGAAGTCGTTGAAGGTGTAGCGGTTCGAGGTTAGGTTCTTGTTGAGGAGGGTCAGGGAGGCTTCGATGACGTTGAGGAGGTCGCGGCGTTTCTCGTTGAGGGGTTTCTCGACGACGCGCTTGCCGAGGCCCAGCTCGGTGGGGTAGATGCGGGTGGTGGTGAAGTGGTTGAAGGGGGAGACCTCGAACTCGTTGCTGAGCTGGACGTGGTTGGGGAGGTCCTGGGTGATCTGGGACTTGAGTAGGGACTCGCAGTCGGACGTTGCGTCCAGGGGCGGGTCCTTCAGGTCGGAACTCAGGGCGAGACCTGGAACAAAAAGAAGTTGGACTTGTCACACACTGAAAAAGAATGGGCCTGTTGCAAACTTTTGCCAGAGCAAAAATAAGAGTTGTTTCTTGTAGATAATGCCTCAAAAATCACGATAAGCGCATCGGCAAAGTCTGAAATGCACTCATAACTTCACAATCTGCGTAAGAAATTTGCGTTTTTTTAAGCTTCCCGCTTCAAAAACGATACCACGGCACAGGTGAACATTTTGTTAGAGGAGTCGCTCCATCGTCGACGATATTCATCATGGCCGACACTTGCGCGCAGTTCCGCGCGTAATTCGAGGAGAGTTCAAGGTCAGTCAATTCAGGCGTGGAAAACATGAACGTTAAAACACGCCGATTGTTATCTGGTGTAATCCAGTTCAGGTTTTATCTCGTCCCATCACACGTGTTTTGGCGGATTGGCATCGGCCATGATGAGTATTGCCGACGATGGAACGACTCCTCTTACAAAATGTTCACCTGTGCCGTAGCATCGCTTTTGAAGCGGGAAGCTCAAAAAACCGCAAATTTCTTACGCAGACTGTGAAGTTATGAGTGCATTTCAGACTTTGCCGATGCGCTCATCGTGATTTTTAAGGCATTATCTATAAGAAACAACTCTTATTTATGCTCTAGCAAAAGTTTGCAACAGGCCCACTCTCGGCATTTTTACCAAGGTCCGTTGGTACCTTTACCATCTCACTTTTTTTTACAAATTATTGGTAATTTTACCAAGACAGACTGGTAAGCTTACCTAAAAACCGATATTTATACTGTTTTTTCAGGTAAGAATACCCCTTTTATTGGTAATCAATTCCCGGTAACTTTGTAATTTTATCTCGGTAGTTCTACCACAGTCGATAAAAAATATTGGCGTTTTTACCAAGGTCCGGTAAAATTATCGAGAAAGTTCAATTATTTTACCGAGATTTCTCGGTGAAATTACCAATTCCATAAATGGTTATTTTACCAAGAAAAAACTGGGATCAAATAGAGCCCTGAATTCTTGGTAATTTTACCCTTTCCTTAGTAAATACACCGAGATTTTTTTTTCAGTGCAATCGGAGACACTTTGAAGTTCATTCAATCGTGAGCAAAAAGTTGGATCTAGCATTTTGATTTTGTGAAATGTTAGGAATAGAATATTCTGTAAAATATATGATTTTGTCTTGGAATTTTTGCATAAAAATAATATATCGACGGTGTAAGTCGGCAATCACATAACTGGTTTGCGGTGTCTGAAAATCTCCACCTCCATGTTATTTTTTTAAGGAGAATACATTGACATAATATCTTGAAGTTTTTGCAGAATTTTCTTCGCTTAGGGAAGAAAAATCACGGCAATTTTAAAGAATTGCCGTTGAGTAGTTTTCCGTTCAAAAAGTAAAGTATGTCAGGAAGTCTGCGACGTCGCAATCCAAATTATGTGATTGCCGACCTACATCGTCGACATATGTTTTAACATTGATCGATATCGTATGAAATACAGATTATAGTATTTTGAAAGTAAAACATGTATGAAGAGTTTGAATAGTCAAGTTCGAATAGTCCAAGAGTAAACGGTATGTGGATCAATTTTTCAATTTTCAGTGCTAAAACATTTAGACATCTTTATTCAAACATACAAAACTAGGTAGATTTTCTAGAAGATTGCATAAAAACGTTGGAAAGTGGCCAACATTGATCATTGGTCTGCGACACTCTTCTTTACGTCGAAGACATGGATTCCTCTTCGCGCTGAAAGGATTAGAACGGCGGAGCGCCTTCAATTTCTAAGTACGCAACAAGCACATCCATCAAGTACGTATAGTTGTATCTTAGTCTAGTGCCTGCCTAGCGCAAACTTCACCGTTCAATGGCTGAGCTCCATCAAGATAATTACTACGTTTTGCACTTACTGCTCTCTTCGCTATCACGGCAGAGATAACATTGCGAGGTTTCTATAATATTTTTTGACTGATCAGTACGGCACATGAACGTGTAGCTTTAGCGTCGATTATGAAAGCATGCATATGCACCTGCCATCCATTTATACGTAGAAAATCCCAGAGAATTAGTTCCAGAGTTCGAACATCATGTTTATGTGTTTAGCTCACGTGGAGAGCAAATCAATTAATTGGATTAAAAAAGGATTCCGCATGCAATTAAAAACTCTGCAACGTTCGGACGTAACAGAACTCTCTGATGTTCGTCGGTTTTTTCACGAATCGTGACGAGATAGGTACGTGGATAATTCCGTTACTCCCGCGGTCCGGGCTTTAACTGCGTATTTCGCAATTTGTCGCCCCTTTGACGTAAGGGCGGGGCTAAATTTCAAAATGAGTCCATGTGACTTTTAGCTCCCCAAGGCTCATGTCGAAATGGAGATGAGCTTTGTTGTTGGAAGAACTGCCTCCAATCACCGTACGTGCAAAGTCAATTCTGAGCTTTTGTTCACGCCGCACAGTGGATCGAGTCTGCAAAGTCTCTATCAGAGAATTTGCAGGTATCTGAAATTTGAAGAATTTCGTGTTTCAGTGATAGATAACTACTAAGCGAACTGAATTTCACACAGGATGATCAAGCGTAAAAATTTGAAAGCAGTAAAATTTGCATGCGCGAAAGCACAAAGGAGTGATATTTTGCCTTCAATTCTCGAAGTAGGCCAAAAAACATACTCGATACCGCGATACTCATCTGCTCGAAGTTCTGTATTTACATTGTCCACAATAAGGAATTTGCAGGTGTCTTAAATTTGAAGAATTTCATGTTTAGGTGACACTACTGAGTGAACTGAACACGAGGATACCCTTGGTTCATGAGTCGAACACTTATTGGTGAAGATATGACAAAATGATCTAATATGCTAAAATACGTGTAATTAAATGGGAAATGCTGCCAGACGACGTCACTAGGCCGACCAGGCGGTGTATTTTCTCACTTTTAAATCTATTTTTATACTATTTCCCAAATCAGAGAAAAATTAAAAAAAATACTGTGAAATCAGCCCTTTCAGCACTTTCAGATGAAGCAATACAAAATTCGCATGCAAATTCTCCATTAGAAAAGTCGGACATGAAATATTTGACTAAAACCGCAAATTTTTAATTTTATATCACCACATTTTAAACTTTAAGGGGTGTTTCTTGAAGAAAGTGTCACGAGAAAACCGCAATGGATCCTCTTTTAGAACCTGAAAGTTTTTTTATAAATGGAGTTATAAATGATTAAAGTTTCCAAATTTTGTTCGACCTCTCCCATTTACTCAAACCCACTGTGCGCCGGTTGACGCGAGTGTTCCCGTTATCCGTCCAATCAAAGCAATACCAGAACAGGATCGGAATAATTGAACCGGAAGTGGGACTTTACTAACAAACAGAGTAAACTGGCCAATCTACGAGCAGTAAGCTCGATCAAAAGGCAAATCTCACTTCGAATCAACAGAGTTCGCCTCCACTTGAATGGGCGATAGAGGATTCCTTGGAAATTTACGTTGATTAGACGTCACTAATTGTGACCGGATGTGTTAAAAAGGACTTTTTCGCCGAAATAAATACTGTCGATGAGTATAGACGACCTGAGGTACTTTACAGAGTATCTGGCCACTACACCGTTAACTGGAGTACCTGTATTGCGAGTGGGGAGAGTGCACAGGGTGTGCAAGAAGTATAGTTGATATTAATCTTGAGTACAGTTGCATATATTGACATACTAAGGTAAGGATGAGATTTCCTCTAATTAGAATAGACAATTTCCTTGAGGGGAGCAATGATCTCTAAGGGGTGGTGATGGTGAGCAACATTGCAATTTTCAAACTGGAAGTCCTGGGCACGATCGATATATTCCAAATTTTAATCTTGAAGTGATTTATTTTGGGAAAATCTAAATTTCGGTCTGTAGATAAATCATTGGAGAATGTTCTTGCCGAAAAATCTTCCTTCAAAATGTTAAAATGAAGTCAAACGTACTGTTTCCATTTTACAAGCAATTTCAACGTATCGCATCGATATCGATGGTTAGTTGGCAACAGTACTTCTGACTTTAGAGGATTTAAAAATATTTTAGAGGATCATTTTCTGCACGAACATTCTTCAATGGTTTGTCTACAGACTGAAATTTAGATTTTCCCAAAATGATTCACCTAAAAGTTAAAATTTGAGATATTTAGATCGTACCCAGAATGTATTGCACAAAATCTGAAGATCCTTCTTAAGTTATTTTGGGTTTTTCCCATATCGACACAAAACGTTTATTACCATTTCTTACTGTGCGCACAAAAACCAATAGGAAACAATCACTGGTGAAAAAAACCTCTTGGACCAATGCCGCGGTGCATTGACTTAAGAGTGCAGTTTCTTGTCGCCGGATTTAAGAGTCTTGAACTCTTGTTTCAAGCGGATTTTGCATTGAAACAAGAGTCCAGACTCTTAAATCCGGCGACAAGAAACTGCACTCTTGAACCATGCAAGAGGTTTTTTTACCAGTGATACAACTCAAGTTGTTTCTATCAGTTTTGCAATGTCGTGCGTCTCTTACTCTCGAAGCGAATGATTTCATCCGAATCGAAAACTAATCACCACAAATAAAAGTCTTACCGTATTCTTGGGCGAGAGCGTTCAGTTGAAGGAGCTGCATCTTAAGAGCTCTGATCTTCGTGAGCAATCGCCGCATCTCTTGCTTCATGTCTTTCGGGTCGGCCACCACTGGATCTGTCGTCAATTTCATTACGTAAAATGATGGGTTCCCTGCGCAAAAATAAAAAAAAATTCATAAAAATTAGTATTTTTAGATGCGAAGTATTTCTGAAGCAGAATCGACTTTCATCATAACTACTTCCGAAACACTGTTTTTCGAAATATAACGTTCCGTTGTTCAAGGATCCGTCGATCGCTCATGAAAGCTCGCTTCAGGTGATTCGATGGACGCCATATTTTGTGTCAGAACGGCGTGCGATGTATCGCATCGATCGGCGCTATTTTTTCAGCTACTGATCATTTTTCTCGAATCTTGAGATCGCAATTCTGTTGTCAGGAGATTAAAGCACTCGCTAACCAATTTTTACAAACAAATTCAACGTAATAAGGGCGTGTTTTTTCCGAGAGAAAACATCGCATTTGATACTGATATCGGAACTGCACTCGACGTATCACTGTGTCAGAGAATGGTAAAATCTACCCTAAATTTGCCTCAATGAATGCGTCCGGTAATCTAAAAGATTCAACCATCAAATTGCGATCCCAAAAATCTATAAATTTTTAAAATTGGCAACGTTGCTCAAGTCGACACGGCGCCTAATCCGGACCTGGAACCGCGGATCCCGCCTCGGCGTGACTTACAACCGCGAAAACAGCGCTGCCACCTCGCGCGAATTCCTGATAAAACACCACGCAAACGCGACATAATTCCGTGGAAATTCGGCACCGCTGCGCGAGACGAAACAAGAGCGCGGTCCTCGCTTGGGGATTTGGGATGCCGAACCGGGAAGTCGCAACACGGACTTAACCTCACGTGGGAGTTACGCAACCCAACACCCCCCCCCCCCCNATATCACTCTTGACCCCTCCCCTCTCCACCAGGACATCCTGACAACACCACAGCGTCGGCGGCATCATAAATAATGATGATGATGATAACGGACTAATTTCTCCGGTGACCGCGCGGCGCGCCACCGTCGCGTCGTCGTCTCCTCCTGGAAAAGTCCTCCTTTGTCTTGTCGGAAAGAGATGAGACAAGATTTCGAAGTTAATTTACTTGGTGTGCACATAATTCCCTCAGAGGAAAAAAAGTTTCGCCCCTCAGAAAGTTTTTCATGCAGCTGCCGACAGAAATTAAACAAGGGTTTTGTGCCAACGTACGAGCGTTGGAGAATGTTCATCGCAGGGAACTGTTGAATTTGTGGTAGGTTATAGGTTAGTTAAATGGCATAAAAATCACATTACACCTATGACATTTGAGAAAGACATGTAACAAAAAAAAAAATCATTTTTTTACAACAGCTTCAAATGGGGAAATATCGATAATCGATCATTCAAGCTACGCTACTGGTCTGACACCGAGAAAAAACAACAATTAAAGCGCGCATCGTGCAGTGCGCGCAATCCGAGTATTTCCTCAGTCTTGTAAAAGTGCTGGCTGATATGCGTTTCATGCCAACTGACCGACTACCGACTGCATTGCATTTGGCGCAATGCGAGAAGTATTCATGCAGTCTTGTAGGCGCTAGTATGCGGGTCGCGCCGACTGCACTGTTTGGCGCAATGCGCGAAGTATTCCTAGAGTCTTGCAGGCGCTAATATGCGTTCAACGCCGGCCGCACTGTGTTGGGCGCGATTATTCGAACTCGCGTTGAAATAATCGTCGCATCGAATAATGGAGCTTAAAAAGCCTATGTTTTGTTTCGACGTCGCATGATCATTCCAACGTTGCCTCGTTACTCCCGATAAAATATTTTTGCCGAGATAAGTTACGAAAGTTCTCTAAGTTTGCTTTTTTAGATTAAATGAACCATTCAACAAGGCACGACTTTAAGCACCTGATGAGTAGGGCCATTGGGTAGTCTTTAGCGAAGGAGAGCCAAATGCTCGGCAAAAAATTATGTTTTGAAGGTTTAATAAGTATATCATGTTAAAAAAAAATAATAATAAAAAAAATGTTAACTTTGCGTTTGGTTTCATTTCGCGAGGCCGGTTATTTTAAATTTCGCGTGCTGTGAAACCGGGGGGCCTCGAGTGCCCAAACAGTTTACCAAACAATGGCTTTGTTTAGAAATAAGACTGATCAGCACGTACGGAGCTCAACAGTCAAGAATAAGGTAATGTCAAGGCTTGAACGACGAAGGCCCGAAAAAAAAGTTACCACCTGTCGCTTTCCTGTGAAAGGCCGATAGCTGTGAGATTTATGACAAAGTAATGGCTCCGTCGTCTCTGCTTCTGAGCTGTTCAGAGGGGGAGAAAAACCAAGTTTGAGGGTAGAAGCAAATTATTGACCAAGGGTTCCAAAAGCGAGCTAACGCTGTTTATCACCATCATTTATCTCGAGCAAGAAAAAAAGGAAGTCTGAGGCCTTAAAAAATGAAGCTTCGCCGAGAGTCTCCCTACGCAAATGTCTCCTCATCATCTATAGGATTAATTTTAAATTTAAATAACGCCAGCTTGACTCATCCATTGGGTCCTCTTTTGCATAGATGCCAAGTCGAAGGGCTATATTTATAGTCGTTCCTTAAACAGTTTCTTTCACTAAGACGCTATGAAAGCCCCATATGGTTTATTTGCGATTAACGAGGGTCAAGGAGGCCTTCAGCATGACTTCATATGGATTGCAGTTTGCAAAGAGGAACCAAGAGCAACCCAAAGTCGCTAAGATGGCGCAACTTTTTTTACTCTGCACATATACACTGATCATCAAAATAGGCTTTATCTTCATTCCTAATAAACAATAATTTCGAGACGAAAATTACCATTGTAAATTTGATTTTTTGCATGATTCAGTTTTGTGGCAAATAATGTAAGTTGCACAATCGCGGAACGCGCAGGACACACACTAATGCCCAAGTTATAGTCTTTCTTTTCATCGATTAGTCATGTAAAGATTACGAAATGGTTCTGACGGATTTTCGTAAGTTTTGAGAGGATCCAAGGTTGCATTGTAAGTGTATTACAATGAGGAGAAAGGGTTAAAAAAAAACAACGAAAAAACGAAAAAAAACGTAAGTATGTGTGCATAGTCTGTTCAACTATTTCGCATTCTTGATGACTATCAGTCGCTCTTTTTTTATTCGCGTGAATTTCTTGGAAATCTTCGGATTTTGTAACGAAAAATGATGAGTGGCAACCTAGCTTTTTTGGACGGAGACTCGCAGAATTTTTCTACTCCATTGCTTCGGGAATATAAAGTTCTATCCAGGTTCTTTTGACTCCCAAACCGCTGTCAAATACATGGGGTAAAAAATTTGTGATGGCTGGAATGAGAGAAAGTTGTTCTCGAGAGTGAATATTCACTAAAAGACAAAACCAGATGGTGAACATGAAAAAGGGCAACCTCAAGCAGATTCAGCCTGACTACCTTTCACATTACCTCATTTTATCCTAACTTCTCCGTTTACCTTTTTAACGCTGAAGTTTATTTTTTAAACCAAATTCCTTGACGCCTTTTTTCACATAATACGTTGATTATGAAGAGCACAATCTAAAAATGAACCGAGGCAGAGGAAAAACAGAATTTTGTAAAACTTCAAATCGCTGAAACCCCGATTTGCTTGTAATAATAACCCAACCCTTCCCCCAATCCTCCAATTGGCGCAGGTATCTCAATAAGCCACTAAAAAGCTCTGGACTATAAATAGGTCAGTGGCAAAGCGTGAACGATCGATTTATTTTTATATTTCCCATTTGAAGCCATATGGTAAAGCATCGATATTTATGGTGTCCGTTGCAAGCACCCTATTTATCGATCCTTTTCCATAGGTTTAAAAAAATCCATCAGCCTAAAAGATTGAAGCATTAGTAACTTTTTTGGAAGCTCTTAAAGAATCAGAACGGGCCCGCCCGTCACTTTCCTGTGAGCAACTCAAGCACTCGATACATTGTATCGAGTAGGGGGTTCTCCAAACGATATCGCAAAGGCGGTGCATCGTATAACCAGAGTTAAGAAATTTCGTGAAATATTATAAGAAGAAATTTCATGAAAAAATTTTGAGAAATTTCATGGGGAAAAAAGAAATTTCATGAAATTTCTTTGGTCCAAATTCTCATTTGGTATGGTCATATCCAGAGAATGGCAGGAGACAGGTTGCCGAAGAAGGTCCTTGACTGGGTTCCTCCTGGGAGAAGACGTAGAGGGCGCCCAATGAAAGGTTGGAGGGAAGGGATTGAAGCGGAAATGTTAAGGTGCTCAATCCCCCAAGATTTGTGGTTTGAAAGAGAGCAGTGGAGGTTAGGAGTCGTAGAGCGCGAGAAAGTGCTGTAAAGCGACTTATATGTATGTATGAAATTTCTTGTGAAATTTCACGAAATTTCATTCGATGAAATTTCTTTTAGCAACTCTGCATAACCCATTTTCATGTGGATTGGCTCATTTCTGTTAAACTCGGTCCAATTTTGAATTCTTGGAGTTGTGGTTCCTTTTCACAGATCCCCTCGCAAGTATATTTTTCATTTTTCAAAATAAATTAATTAATATTTATTTTGTGTTTGTTACCATACACACAATGCCCACGAAAACCCTAAAGTAAAAGTGTGAAACTGGCATACATGAGCGAGTTCCGGACTTGGACGATGCATTTTCAGGGGTAGTCGGGAGCTGAACACGCGAATGAGCATGATGATTTTGTTCCTGCGGTGGCCTATACGGCCGGCACGCATCGCCCGAACAATCCATCCGCCATGTTTTATCGCTTCTCAACCCTCATCGCTCATTATTCCGCAGCTTCTCCACTTAAGGGCGTATCTCGATTTCCCCGTGAACCCTGTTACACATAAGAATCCATGCCTTCTCGGGCTCATCACGGAATCGAGATACGCCCTTACGTCAGAGGAGCGACGATTATTCTGCAGCCTCTCCACGTACTCGCGGGGTTCCACTGCTCGGTCTCACGGTGTTGCCCATATTTTCAAATTTCCTCTGTCGTGCTACGTAAGAACGCCGTCTGAGCCATCAGGCGTTGCCGAATTTCCTTCGACAAACCATGAATATTCAGGAAAATTTGTGAATATTTGATCTCTGATTTTTTGGAGGATTTTGCTTTGAA